ATAACATTTACGATATTGAATAACACAATTACCTTTTTTGCAATAAAAGGAATTCTCAACTAACAGGTGAAGTTACAAAAAAAAATCCTGACTGGTGATTTGGATAATTTTTGGACAAGATGCAAGTTACTACTAATAAGTCTTGTAGTATTTATGTTTGATCTTTTCCTACACTAAGTTGTTGGTACATGTATTTTTTTCCTAAGAAACATTATTTTCTGGAAAATATTAATGGCAGAGGCGTTTTCCTTGTCTGTTTATACCTCTATGCTACATATTTTCATGATACTAGGTAAATGACAAATAAATACAGTCGAGGGGTGTAAATAGGCAAGTAGAACACGTAAGTTTGGTAAATATATGTATCTTGTCATCGTCAGGGAGAGATGCATGTCCTTTTACTTCTTTCAGATTATTATTTTTATTCTTTATTATTTTTATTTATTTATTATTTTTTATTTTTTTTTTTTGCAGGCCAGAAAAAATATGTAGCAACACTTAAAACGTCCTTTTTTACGAAAAGACAAGAGGAATGTTGGACCTTTCTCCTCTCCCTTCGTATTGAATTGGTCAGATAGTAAGTATCTACGCTCGAGGCAAGAATGGTCAGAGGATCAGGAACGTAGATTGGGTCAAATTAATCCGACTATTTCAATATATATGATACATATATAAATATATGTTATTCGCACATGCACCGGTAAAATTAAAATTATTATTACATTATCATACTGCATATATTGGCCTTTATTTCTTCTAAAAATAATAAAAAACGACTCATTCCATATACAAACTCCCCCCACTACAGTAAATACGACAAGAAAAATGAATTACATGAGTGATATGTCTTACCATCTTCAGGGGCAGATGAATGTTGATTTGCTGAACTGATTTAACACAGGTGCGCTGCACTCTTAAGGTGAAGCATTTCATAAAATTACGGATAGAGAATATGTTACTTTATTTTCCAATAGTCATTTCTCATACATTCCTAGTTATATAATTGATGTATTGTACATGTAATATATATATGTACATAAGTAAGATTTATTGGCAACTGAAGCAGCATTTTCGAAGTCCTCCAGGATTTCATCTTCAAGTTTGAAAAGGAATTGGAAAGAGAAAGGACTATAAGAGGGAGAGGGCGAAAAGCAACAATGGGAAAGATGGTCACGTGAAGACAGATAAACGGGAAAGAAGGCAGGTCACGTCAGGTCGAAGATTCAGGCGGTCTATGCAATGGGTGGCCGGCAAAAGGGAGTAATCTCGGAAGGAGGAATACCACTAATAAGATTGAAGCTGGCAGCTGATTTATAGAGGATTCCATTAGTCTATGGGCGACGGACATCACTCAGCTGAAAGACAATTCGCGCAGCTGACCAATTCATCTGATGGCCTGTGCCGCACGGGTGGCAGAAGAGGGTGTTGTTGGTGTGTCCCCTAGACACAACATATCTACGTTCACAGAGACGCTAAGACCTGTCACGCCACAGAGCTTGCAGGAAGCACAAGATATAGCATACTTGCCAACTGCCGAGGAACTGGAGAACTGATGTAGAGCAGTTCATGGCGGAGAGTCTTAACCTGGCGACACAAACCTGCAGTTGAAAATGCGAAGGGGCGATGGAGAGTAGATTTTCTCTGTGCAGGACATACAAAGAACAGACAGGTGAGGAGTCTTTCTTGAAGGAAAGAAGTAGGTGAAGAAGACTTCCATGACTTTAATGTTTTACTCCTCTTATTTTTTCAAGAAAAGATTAATAACACTTTTCAAAATGATGTAACTTTAAATATTTTTAATCTTATTTTTCACGCGTTGTGCTATTCATCCTTTAACTGTAAGTTTTCGAGTTTTGATTCATGTTATTGACATTGAGAAAAAGTATGTTTTAGCAAATTTCAGCTAATTTCGACACCGTCTTGATTTTTTATATATAGAAAAAATAATATCACAATGCTAAACAAATACGTTTGTAGATTTGTACTCCATTTTGACATTCGAAACAACTTAATGAGAATCTAAAAGGAAATGTCTGAGCAGTTAGCATTTACATCTGCAAAAAGGTAACTTTGAAATACAGAAATATTTGTGTCTTTTCATACGACTGTAAACAATATCTTACCTGACCGGAAGGTGGCTCTCCACGCATTCGTCCCTCGCTTAATTAAAGGCTTCTGTCAAAGTCCTCCGGAGTCTCCATATCGCAGGAAGCCGCCTCCTTCTGCGTCTTCCACTCCCGAGCTTAGTTTACCCAAGGACGATAGCAAAGAGATGAAGACACACGGGGTCTACACTCGCCAACACCACGTCCTCGACAAGGTGATCGAGGTCTCTTAGGGGGTCTCCCATGTACTTTCCCTAATAAACCCACAAGCCAAGACCCCTTGCCATGACCTCCATCAAGAACAACCCCTTCTCGTTCATATCGTGGTTCATGGAGTGCCTACCTGTCCCGTTGATGATTATTCCTTTATATTTGTTCCTGGTCTCCCGTTCTCCTGCGGCGGGTATTACCTGTACATGCTTGAGGGGCGTCTGATCTGTAAAACTATTTGTCGCCAAGTAACTTTTAAAATGTACGACTTGTGTAGTATCCCAAAAGCCCTAACACTTTGATACATTGATCTTGCCTCATGGTTGCTACAAAACACGATATCACTAGCTTTTTTTTTCTGATTCACATAAAAAGTGACGCTTTGTATCTTATCGTGTCCACTGGGAGTGAGCTCTGTCTTCACATAGAGTCCAAATCTCAGTCAACCGGATATTTCCAAAGATAACGGGCATTCCCTCCCTGTCTTATTGGTTGAATTATATCAAGTCAAAGTACACAGCATTTCCTTTGATATCTCAAAGCCGGTAATGTTGTATCATAAAAGGTTATAGAGGTACAGATTTTTTTTTTTCCCACCGGTCATTGCCACACTATGTGACTCGGACAGGTTAGAACTTCTTGCCATGTAGTTTCAGAGACCATCTTTACTGACTAATTTTGCCTTTAGAGAATGAATATGTATTTGATGTACTGCTAATAAGACAAAAATATTTTCTGCACCTTCATATAAGTTCTGTCTCAATAATCATACAATGTAATTCGTAATTAATGATAATATAAATGTGATATATCTGAAAAATACTTTGCTCTGATTGGCTGACCAGATTGTATCACTTTGCATCAAGGTAGAGGCATACAAACTGATACAAACTGGAAAGATGTTTCCGTAGGTTCGAATAATGTATGCATAAAGGGCAAACATATATCAAAGTGTTTGGGGTTTTGGACAAGCTACAAAAAAGGCCTTAAGTCTTCCCCTCTACCTTCATCTCTTCTTATTTAATGAATCACTTCTCTTTCTTATCTTGAGGTTGGAGAGACTTAATTTGCAAAGTTGAAGTAACATTGATATTATTATAGAAGCGATGCCTTCTCATAACTAGCATTGTGATCCTGTGCCGCAGTTTGGGCAATAAACTTTACCTCAGAGTGTCCCCAAAAGCTCAACGCGAATAAGGATGGGTGAATTCCGTGGCATGCATTCATGTGATGTGCTGGGCTGAGGGAGGGTGGAGAGGTGTCAGGTGCCAGGGATATGATTATGATTATAATTTAGTTATCGGTTGTCATAATAGATATTCTTCTATGTGACATGCTGTGTTTCTTTTGCTTCTACATTACCCCGTGTGCAAGGAATGCCCAGGGTTACCATCCACTGGCAGCGTGTGGGATTGAACGCACGCCAGCAAATTGTTGGACGAGAACGCAACCACCTCACCAAAAGGGAGGAGCTCGAGGTGGCAGGGGGGTGGGCGTGGGGGAAGGCAGTGGCAGTGGGGAGACAGTCACTGCATCTTCATCTCTTTAAACAATTGAAGATCATTCCTTCCTTTTTCTCTGCTCTGATAGGTTGCCGAGACTTCCAAGATGCACCATGTACCGCTTTAATTTAGAAGGCTTTGGTAGATTGATGTGTAAAGCAAAGGGATAAGCACACATTACCTTACTGAGGATAGTACAAATCTCTCTCCCTCCTTCTTCAGATGTGCAAGGCAGGCTTCATCACTACAAACGAGCTGATGGATTGAAGGAGTGTCGCAGTTCTTTGCTCTACTTGATGCCATGTGAGGTTCAGCAAAAAATTGAAATGTTTTGACCTTTTTCAGATTCTCTTGGAGAAAACAATTAACAAATGAGACGCTTTGAATGTAAACAAATGCATGTGGTTGAGTAGCAGATCTTTGCGTTGAAATTAAACAAACTATTATGCAAAATGATCATATACTTTTCCATAAGTTATATCTTACTTTCTTTTTTGTATCCCAACCAGACACTTCCTTAATACATATAATTACAATTTTAATGACAAAACTACCATGCTAATGCCTCTAACCTCTGTACTACTAATGCTAACGCTTCAGACATGTGGCTGTAGTAGAGAGTGGGTAGATGATGGGGCATACTAAAAAGTTTATGCCAATATTCTGACCTGCAATATCTGGTGGAACAGTGTATAAGTAGCTATGTCAATATTAGAGATAAATGAAAAACTGTAAACTAGCTTAGATGCTGACGAAGAATGTGTCCTATTTTATATTATGAACGCCTTGAGACAAGTGTCTATAGAGGTCACAAGATTTGGCACTTATTCTATAAATGGTATATTTTCCCTCTCTGGCACAATTACTGCATGCTGAATCATATTTGCCTCCTAGCAGCAGTGGCAATTCTTGGAAGCCTCACATAACAGTGTCATCAAATATGAAGACCTGCAAGGAAATATGCTCCTTATGCTGTTAACATTTCATTTCTCCTTGATTGAACAGATCACCTGTGTGTGGAAAGCATAATTTCATAGTAAGGAAATTACGTACACAACCTGCTATATTTGAAAACCACTGGAAAGGAATGTCGGCAAGCCATTTGCCTACATACACTGCCAATGATTTTTGGTTTACTATATTGATAATTGCAGATTTATAAAAAGGATAATCAAAAGCAAAGCGAGTTTCACATTTTTTTTCAGTATATCGGACCAGCACAGACAAACGTGTAAATGCATGTACTTGTTTTGCTTACAAAGCGGGTATCAAATGCCACAAAAGAATTAATGTTGTAATTTCCATATTTTTTTTAAAGAATCCTCTAATCCTCTGGTTCTCCCTTTTGCTTCAAACATTACTGTGTTTTAGAAACTTTCTTCGTGACAGAAACATTTGAAGAGCCATTAGGAGGATCGATCTTTATGTTGATAACCAATTCACAGCCAGTGCAAATCGTAGAAAGGAGGAAAGTGTTGACATTTAAGGTGAATCTTGAAGGGCACAGCTCAGTGTAACACATTGGACATTCTTCGATTGCATGGTGGACGACTAGGTAATACCCACTTGATGGAACAGATTCCCGTGTTTTTCTACCTTCGTTTCTTCGAGAACGATTGGATACGGGTTTGTTCTTCGGAGACTTTGATTTTCTCTCCAAGTCCTTTGGTGATTTGGGTGAATTCAAGCTGCCAGATGAGCTTGTGCTTTCTGGGATGCTCTCTCTACTAAGCCTTCCGAGGGATGGTTCTATACTATTTCCCTCGACTTCAGGACACGAACCAAAACGCATTTTCATTCCTATACTGGATGAACTGGGCAAGCCTGTGCTTTCTTTTCTTACCTCTGTATAATCGCTGGCAATCTGATATTCAACTGTCTCACTTAAATGTTCCAGGTCATATGTCTGAGCTAGGATATAGTCACCTTCTTCTCCATTTTCACGGACTGGAGAGCTTTGGAATTCCTGCTCGTCTGTTTGAAATGGATCTCTTGTTTCCTGGTCATTATCTATATTTGGTTGAGAGGAATTTCCGTCCAGAAACATTTCGCACAGATCGACTGCAATTTGGAGTGGTTTAGTTGATATTCATCGGCGTAAAGTCTGTGGCAAAGTCATTCTAGTGTAGCGTGGCAGCATTCCAAGTTTCCTTCTTAAAAACAAGGATTTCGTCGGTCCTGAAACAGAAAAGAACCACAAATCCTCATTGCTTTTAGTTATGATCGTAAAAAAGTATAAGCATTATCCGGAGATACAATCAGCAATGTTCCAGCACAAAACATATATATCAAAATTACAATGCAGCTTACATTTGTTACATGTACGAAATTTATGAACAGTCCAAACTAAACACTGCCGAAAGCTGTTCTGCAGCCTGACCCTTGCAATCACAAAATAGTGAGAAAAGGAACGCTGTACGATGTCTTCGAGGCAGTGGCTCAGGTACAACTGCGCCTCACACGAGAGAGGCAGGCGTGGCTGGCAATGGCCTTGGCGCTGATTGGCTAGACGCCTGCTCGGCCTATTGCCCGTCGCGTGTCATCTTATTGTATTACCGGGTTTGCAAATTCTCTTCTCCTCTCAGCTGCAATATCCTTCAACCCCGTTAAAACAACTCGCCCTGCAAGTCATGTCTTTGCAAATATTTTTTTCCATCCCGACATCTATTCTCCTCTCCTAAGAGTAATGGATTTGATCAGCTAACATGTGTTAGACTTCGTTTGGTATGTCTCCTCATATTCACTTCTCTAATCGAGGAATTTACAAATGGTTTAAGTTTAAGTAGTGTGTATATTGAATGTGTACTTTCTTGTTCCCTTCGTTGTTTTGCTAGCAGTGTGTGTGTGTGTGTGTGTGTGTGTGTGTGTGTGTGTGTGTGTGTGTGTGTGTGTGTGTGTGTGTGTGTGTGTGTGTGTGTGTGTGTGTGTGTGAATAGGATTCGGGCTACTTTCTCTGTCAATTTGCTACTTTTAGGGAACTTTATGTTACTTTCGATGAGTTTGATCTGACGGCACTTGTATGGCCACGACTTTCAGATGTCCCCGTGGGATCACAGATACCAGACGTCCATATCAGACAGCGATAACTGAGGAGACAACCGGAGATGACGAGGAACCACGTGGCAAAGGCGAAGCGAAAAGGTACAGCCACGGTCAAAACAAGAGCATGTTCCGAATACCGTTTCGAACATCTGTTTACTGCCACACTTTTCGTATAGGCTAAGACTGTTTCGAAGCTTCAGTTCATTAAAAGATTTTCGTCCGCCACTTTTACATGTATCATATAATTGTTTAAACATATCTAACCAAGAGAAACTACAAGTAATCATATGTGAAAACCTCACATCGCGTGATCTGAGACCGTATTTACCAAAATTCTTTACGCTGCATCTTGGATTACACAGTCTCGCATTATTTTCTTTCTTTCTTTTTCTCTCTCTTTTTTAAGTGTGGACAATTCTCTGGACGCACTGCAACGAAGAGAAGGATAAGAAAAGGAATGCTAGTAGTCGGAAGCCAACGGAAGACAACGAGAGGACTGTATAAATATTAGTTATAGCTACCATTAATCTTTCCATTATTTATTGGATAATTAGCATGAAATCACCTACCAATTGTCTATCGGGATTTATTGCAGAGTGTATTAATTTAATACAAATAAGAAAATCATATAAAGTAAACAGTATTGTGTAACAACTCGTAAGCTGTACATATAGCCGTACCATAAGCGCAACTTGCAGGAAGAAGAGTCGTTACAGGGAGATGGTCGTTGCAGGGAGGAGGGTAGTTACAGGGAGGGTCGTTGCAGGAGAAGTTCGTTACAGGGAGATGGTCGTTGCAGGGAGGGTCGTTACAGGGAGAAAGGTCGATGCAGGGAGGAGGGTCGTTGCAGGGAGAAGGGTCGTTGCAGGGAGATGGTCGTTGCAGGGAGGAGGGTAGTTACAGGGAGGAAGGTCGTTGCAGGGTCGTTACAGGAGATGGTCGTGCAGGAGGGGTAGTTACAGGGAGGAGGGTAGTTACAGGGAGGAAGGTCGTTGCAGGGAGGAAGGTCGTTGCAGGGAGAAGGGTCGTTACAGGGAGATGGTCGTTGCAGGGAGGAAGGTCGTTGCAGGCAGGAAGGTCGTTTACCATCAGCAATCCCTAATCCCTGCAATGCGAATGACAGACTGAAGATGTCCGTTAAATAGGTTAATTGGTAGGATTTAAACGAATGAATTTATCTTTAATATTCTTTTATTTCATGAACTTACTTACTTTATTATGAAACAAAAAAAATATGATTATTACAATGTCTCAAACCGCCAAACACTAACAAAATAACCAAGCTATTGGGATTCTCAATAGCAAGCAACACATCTGGAAACAAGCAACAAGATCAGAAGATAAACCAACCAATTTTCCACAAGTTCGCCTAAGAGGAGTGGTCGCTAATCCATGAACAGTCAACTACGTAATGGAAGTCCAGCGCGGGAAAACTTGTTGGCTTCCATGTTGATTTTCTTGTGTATCGACCAGCAGCATGTGGCCATGTTAACACAGTTAGCCAGTCTAGATAAAGTCGTATAAGTTTTGTCTCCCTTAGAAAACTGATTATATATATATAAATGGTGTGTTATATATATATATATATATTATATATATATATATATATATATATATATATATATATATAAAGATGAAGTGGAAACTAACCTAACGAGCGCTTGGGGTTAACGGTTGGTAAAAAAATAATAATAAATAAATAATAAATAAAAATAAATAATAATAAATCAGGTACCTGCTGCTACAGGACTGAATTCGATTTAAATACCAATGAAAAAAGACATACTGCAATGAACGTATGTACTCAAATGTTTGTGATAGACAGAGAGAGGGAGGGGGGAGAGAGAGGGAGGGGGGAGGGAGAGTGAGGGAGGGGGAGGAGAGGAGAGGGGAGAGAGAGGAGAAAGCGGGAGGAAGGAGAAAAGAGAGAGGGAGAGTTATCAATTATCTAAAATATCTACTTGCATGCACTGGCTTCGTCACTTTTTCCCCCTGTAAAACACCATCAAGAACACTTCTATTTTTCTTCTCGTTTCTCTTTACTCACGTCTTTATCATCATCCTCTTCACACGTCCTCTACTCTCATTCGGCGCTGATTAGGTACCCGTCTGACCCTAATCTTCATGGGTAACGATTAGAATAGAATCACACAGGAATTTAAAATTTAAACGCTAATCTTTCTGTGTGACACATGCACTTGTCTTTTTTCTCTTTCATTCTCTTTCTCCGTCTGTCTGTATGTCTGTCGCTGCTTCTGTCTCTGTTTCTCTCTTTCTCTCTGTTTCTCTCTCCTCTCCCTCCTCCTTCCCTCCCCCCTTCCCTCCCTCCCTCCTTCCCTCCTCTCCCACTCCCTCTCCCTCCCTCCCTCCTTCCCTCCCCCTCCTCCTTCCTTCCCTCCTTCCCCCCTCCCTCCCTCCCTCCCTCCCTCCCTCCTTCCCTCTCTCTCCCTCTCTGTCTAACCTTCACATTGACCCTTGACCTTTCTCTTTCCCTCTCCTGCTGAATTCCTCTCCTCTTAACCTCACCGTTAACCCTTTCCTCTACCTCTCCCTCACCCCATGCATGCCATCACATTTACCATTAATTAGTATCAACCTTACCGTCTTTTTCACCCTCGCCCTTAGCTGCCCCCCCCCCTCCGTCTCCTTCACTCCCCCCTCTCTCTCTCTCTCTGTCTGTCCTCTCTGTCTCTCTCTCTCTCTCTCTCTCTCTCTCTCCTCTCTCTCTCTCTCTCTCTCTCTCTCTCTCTCTCTCTCTCTCTCTCTCTCTCTCTCTCTCTCTCTCCTCTCTCCTCTCTCTCTCTCTCTCTCTTCTCTCTCTCTCTCTCTCTCTTCTCTCTCTCTTCTCTCTCTCTCTCTCTCTCTCTCTCTCTCTCTCTCTCTCTCTCTCTCTCTCTCTCTCTCTCTCTCCTCTCTCTTCTCTCTCTCTCTCTCTCTCTCTCTCTCTCTCTCTCTTCCCTCTCTCTTTCCTTCTACCTATCTATCTATCTTTCCTTTTCTCTGTCTATCTCTTTCCTTCTCTCTCTTTCTATCTCTCTATCCTTCTCTCCCTCTCTCCCTCCCTCTTTTTTACATTCACTTGTCCTCTCGCACCGCTTAAGGGATTCCCATGAACAGCAAAAAATGGTTGCTCTATCCTCAAACTCGCACAGCTTGCAGGTTAGACGGGTTTCTGGTGCATCTTCAAAACTTGCAAGAATGTCGACAGAGTAGCGAGAAGATTCGATAGAGTCTACAGCAAAAGAGAGAAGCATTTATTTTCATTTTTATTTGGTCATTTGATGGAGAACTTTTTCAAGTTTAGTCGAGGTATTAAGTTTGTTGTTTCATAATTATATTTTTTTTATGTTGCAGTCAATTGATATATATCTAAGTTACCCATTTGCTTGGTAATTTGCTTAGATATGGCTGACGATATACTTAATAGTACTTATCATTTATGTAATCATTTAACTGAAATGATCCCATAATAACATAAAAGCAATTATCTACATTAGTGGTGCTTAACTCTCTTCAGTGTACCCACTCCTTTCAAATTAGTAGTCAATTCCCAGACCCCCTGAATTGATTAAATAAAAAATACTAAACTGCAAATTTGGTGCCATGCATTTATACTAATTATTATTCACAAAGCTTATATATTTATTGTGATTCCGTAGTACATAATCCTCCCATTGAAGTATATGTACGAAAATAATTTACAGCTAATTCTGCACCCTATATGTACCAACAAGAAAAAAGGTTTTCAAACAGAGAAACTCACTAAAGCAAAAAGGTCTGCGTGTTGATAATGCGGGAAGGATCGCACGGTCTGAGACTTGACGAGAACCTCCCTCCCCCTTTTTTATTCGCGTGTATTTTATGCGTCTTTCTCGTCCCTCCCTCGTCCTCATACGCGTATCCTGCACTGGAGTCTGATGCTAATTTACCTCTTCAGGAGGGAATCATCTCAGGGCATATGATCTCCTAAGAGAACAGTATCTGTATTTTCCTGAAAGCAGTTTTATTTTCTCTCCGCACATATAATAATGATAATAATAATAATAATAATAATAATAATAATAATAATAATATAATAATAACAATAATAATAATAATAATAATAATAATAATAAAATAACAACAATAATAATAATAAAAATAATAATAATAATATAATAATGATAATGATAATAATAAATAATAATAATAATAATAATAATAATAATAATAATAATAATAAATAACCTAATAAAAATAAATAAAATCTGCAAAATATAGATCTTGCCTAAATATTTCATATGCATCCACACACCCCCGGTTAAGAACTACGGATCTACATACCACGTAGATATGTGGTTGTGTATCACACAGATAATTACCATCAGCTGCTACACCAACTGCCATCACCAGTTGTTGAGGAATTAATATCTTTACTTACAG